ATTTTATTTGAAATTTTGCTATTTACATATTTTAATATATTTAATTAATTTTTTTATTTGATTATTAACTAAGAAAATTTAATTATTTTTAATCTGTATTAGCTTTATTTATTATATATCAAATACAAATAAAAAATAAAAAAAGATAAAAAAAAAAGAAATATCTATATAAATATCTACAATTTTGTAAAAAATTTCAAAGTAATTCAAAAAATATCAAATATCAGTAAAATAACTAAAGATGTATTAGTAAATAAAACAAAATAACAAAAACATTTCATTTAAATGTTAAATTCTTATATTTTGATTTACTCAAATATAGCTAAAAAAAAGAAAGATTATTAGAAAATATTAAAAAAAATAAAAAAATATTAAAATTATTCTTCAGTATCTTGATTTTTATTAGATAAATCTAAATTAAATATGGTGCATGCAGTCTAAAGACATCCAAAAATTTAAACTATAAAAGCTTTATATCTTAACTAGTACCAAAGAAAATAAATACATAGTTAAGTAGTATTTAATAAGCTCTATAAATCTATATATTTTTATTTTATAATTTATTAATAAATTATTGAGAAGTTAGAATTTTACAAAAGATATTTTTAATAATATTTTTTAAAATTTCAGTGGTAATGATTATCACGTGAAATGCTTTAATTGGTTATAATTCGATCATGTGATGACTATACAATGTATTGATTAGCTGATTTATTTAATATAATTTTTGAATATCAAGATCAGAGACCTATAAACTTTAATATTTTTCTGGATCATTGATCAGATGTTCAATCATTGCAACATGCTTTTATTAATTTATTATTCAAAAAATATAAATATTTATCACTTTATATAAAGTTTATTAAAAAACCTTATTATCAAGTTTGATAATAAAAATATAAACTTTTTCTTTTCATATATTGAAATACTATCAAATATTTATTATTTTGAATTAGTCATATTTCATGTTCACTACAATGCATATAATTTGTAAACTAATAAACTTTCTAAACCTAATGTAATCCAACTCTAATTTATATAACCAAATTTTTTTAACATACTTTCTGGTACTTGACAATGAGATCGATATTTTTTTACAGCAAAAACTGCAGCTTTTCCAGAAAGATCATGCTTGTAAGCACTCATATATCAACCAGATTGACATACAAAATGGCAAATTTTAGTAAGACTAACAGATTTTAATGCATAAGGAACAGTTTTTTTAAGACCTTTAAAAGAATAATCGCAATGTAAACATGCATATTGTTTTGCTGCTCCCCAAAAAGACTCAATATAATTGAGCTCACAATGATACTTTGAGTAAAAAATACAAAGATGACCAGCTGCCTTAATAATCTCTTATAAATAGTTTTTTTGTAATGCAAAATTAGGCTGACTTTAAGAATTTTGTTGCACAACATTGTAGATTGGTTGAAGCATCTGCTTTATATCTATCGCATTCTTTTGTTAAACCTGGCATCCACAAACCATGTTCTTGAAGAACACTTTGATACCTTTTGGCTTTACTTTATTATCTTAATCTACAAATGTTATAACATGAATAGAACTATTACATATTCTGCCATTATGAAGAAGTGATCTTTTTCCTCTATCTTTCATATTCATCTGAGAAACTAACAATACATCTTTAGTAAATGAATTGTGGTTACAACTATTATTAAACATAAAAAGCACAACTTTTCCAGAATGAGTTCTTTTAAATATTGAAATAGTTCTTTTAGACACTTGTTTTATGATATTTTTATTAGTCCACCAGCCATCTTAGTTAATGTCTGGATAAACAATAATGCATACATTAGTATAAGGAAGATATTTGTTGTTAGAAAGTAAATTATTTGCTTCTTTTTCTTCTTGCGAAAGGCAAAGCCGACCAATTGTCTCACAAATAAATTTACTAACATGTATACTAGAACTTTGGGACTTTCGTCAAATTGGGTCTTTATCTATAGGCCCCCAAAACTTTTTAACCCCATTATTAGTATAAAAAATTAATTCATCATGAGTAACTGGGACAATTTCTGGAACATTTAGTAGTAGTCTTAGTGAAATAACTTGATTTATATCATCTCCTTCATAGATTGCTATTCAAGGTCTCAAATTAGTCATTTGTTCTAAAAATTGTTGCTGATACCTTACAACATCATTGCGCTTATATCCATTATAATAAATGTTTTTTGAGTAACTTTTATAATTCCAACCAAGACTGTGTAACCATATTTGGGCTGTTTTAATAGAGATAGTTTTTTTTTCTTCAATTCCTAAAGCAGGAATAGCTTCATCTTCCACAAACTTACAAACTGCTTAGGGGTTATTTTAAATTTATTTGCATACAAATATTGTATAATGTTTGATTTAAAGTTTTTATAAGACAGTAACGACTTTGTTTTTACATGACATTCATGATACAAAGTAGAAATTTTACCTTTACTTAACTACTATTTAGCTCATGTACGAATAACTTGAGCATGCCATAGACTCCTATTAACACTATGAGCAAGAAGCTCACTAGCTGACATTTTAGTATACTTATGGTCTTTAACTAAGTAAAAAAATTGACTAACTGTACGAAGTCTAATATCAGAAAGATTTTCTTTTAATAATGAATCAAGTGCTTCTAAGCTAAACTCATTATTTTAATTTTCATCACTAGAATTGATTACTTCATTATATGAAAGTTCATTATACAGTTTATTGCAATTGTTCATATCATTAACTTTATCATCATTCATATAAAATGAATGTTCATTATCCTCTTTAGACGAAAGCTCAGTATTCACATCAGACAAAAGCTTATTATTCTCTTTAGACAAAAGCTCAGTATCTGTATCTGATGAAAACTCATTATTCTCATTAGATAAAAATTCATCATTCTTATTAGATAACAGTTCCTCATACTCATTAGACAAAAATTCAGTATTCTCATCAAATGAAAGTTCTTGTTTATTTTGGAGTGATTGGTTATTATCAGCTAAAAGCCAATCAGTTATTTTTTTTGATCCAGATGCTGCCTTTCTCTATGCTGCTCTTTTATTTCGTAAAGTTGATAAGGCAAAACCTGTGTAAGTTGGTTTTCATTTATTTATTTTCTATATATTTTGTCTTTTGGCACTTTCAATAAGCTTTTCAAATACTTCTGGTCTTAGACTTTGCAATGCTTCTAAAAAAGTTTCATTTCTGGCATTATCAGATTTATAATCTGATATTTCATTATCATCATCTTTTTTTTACCACTTTTTAATGGCTTTAGTACAATGTTAACTACATTTATTTCATTTTGGCATTGAGAAGTAAAAATAGAATTGTGTACTTAAATGTTATACTAGGGTTATGCAATGTCATATAAGAGAAAATAGTGTATAAGTCTTTTTTTTTTTTTTTAAAAAAAAAAAAAAAAAAAAAAGGTTTATAAAGACTGATAGTTTTTTATAAAGTATTTCTTTTTTGGTAATCAGAAACAGGTTTAAAAGAGTTTAACTTTAAAAAAAAATCCAAAACCTCAAAAAAAGTTAATATCAAAAAAAAAAGTCAAGACTTTATGGAAAAAAAACTAAGATCTCAAAAAAAGAAAAAGACCTTAAAAAATACCATATTCTAAAAAAAACAGTTCTCAAAAAAAGGAAAAAGGTACGTGTAATGAAGCCTCAAAAAAAAAAAAGAGAAGATTATCAGTCTATTGCATTTATGCTAATGCACTTCTCTAGAAAAAAACTGAAATATTTATTAGCCAATAGTATTCATAGATTTGTATGTTACATATGCATATAAAATTTCAACAGTCATATATCATTTGATGTCTTTAGACTGTGCATACTATATAAAAAATATTTGTAAATAATTTTAAAATATAACGAAAAATTGTAAAGATATTCAAAAATAAGCAAAAATATGTGAATATAACTAAAAATTTTAAGAATTATAAAAATATTCTTAAAATACTGCAAATTATAATGATAAAATAATTGAAATTTAATGATTATACCTT